GGTTGAGGGTCTTTTTTATATTAAAAAATAGTATAGCCGAGCGGCTATACGCGGTTTTGAATTTTTTAAGAGAGAAATGTGTTGACACGTGGCACCTATGGTTGGGGTCTTTTTTTAATCAAAAATTACTATAGGCGGACGGCTATACTCAATTTGGAATATATATTTTTTTTAAAAGGACATGTATTGACATGTGTGGCTTAAAGGTTGTGGGTCTTTTTTATGTTTAAAAATAGTGTAGCCGTTCGGCTAAACTCAGTTTTGAATTTTTTAAAGAGAGAAATGTGTTGACACGTGGCACCTAATGGTTGGGGTCCTTTTTTATATATAAAAAATTCGTATAGCCGAACGGCTATACTCAGTTTTGATTTTTTTGAAAAAGACATGTGTTGACACGTGGGGTTTAATGGTTGTGGGTCCTTTTTATATCAATAAATGGTATCGCCGCACGGCTATACTCTGGTTTGAAATTTTTTTTAAGAATACATGTGTTGACAAGTAGCGCCTAACAGTTGGGGTCCTTTTTCATATCCAAAAATAGTACAGCCGCACGGCTACACTCAGTTTCGAATTTTGTTTTTAAACACTGGGACTTAATGGTTGGGTTAAAAATAGTATAGTTGAACGGCTATACTCAGTATTGAATGTTTTTTATAGAGACAAATGTGTTGACACGTGGCACCTAATGGTTGGGGTCCTTTTTTATATAAAAAAATAGTATAGCCAGACGGCTATGCTCCATTTTGAATTTTTTTTTAAAAAGACGCGTTGACACGCGGGGTTTAACGGTTGGGGGTCCTTGTTTATATTTAAAAATTGAATAGCCGCACGGCTATACTTAGTTCCCAATTTTTTTTAAGCCAGAAATGTGTTGACATGTGGCAGCTAATGGTGGGGTCTTTTTTAAAATAAAAAATTAGTATAGCCGCATGGCGATACGTAGTTCTGAATGTTTTTTTCAAAGAGAAATGTGTTCACTGGTGGTACCTAATGACTGGGGACTTATTTCAAAAATTAGTATAGCCGCACGGCTATACTCAGTTTCGAAATTTTTTTGAAGAAGACATGTGTTCACACGTGGGGCTTAATGGTTGGGGTCTTTTTTAATATCCAAAAATAGTATAACCGAACGGCTATACCCACTTTTGAATTTTTTTTTAGGAAGACGTGTTGACACGTGGGATTTAATGTTTGAGGGTCTTTTTTATATTTAAACATAGTATCGCCGAACGGCTATACTCAGTTTTCAATTTTTTTTAAGAGAGAAATGTGGTTACACGTGGCACCAAATGGTTGGGTCCTTTTATATATCAAAAATTAGTATAGCCGGCCTCAGGTTTGAAATTTTTTTGAAAAAGACATGTGTTGACACGCGGGGTTCAATGGTTGCGAGTCTTTTTTATATCAAAAAAATAGTATAGCCGCGCGGCTATACGCAGTTTAAATTTTTTTTTAAAAGGACAACTGTTGACACGTGGGCCTTAATGGTTGGGTTAAAAATCGTATAGCCGAATGACTATACTCAGTTTTGAATTTTTTTAAAGAGAGAAATATGTTGACACGTGGCCTAATGGTTGGGGTCCTTTTTTATATCAAAAATAGAATAGAGGCACGGCTACATTCAGTTTTGAATTTGTTTTAAGAAAAAAGACATGTGTTGACACCTGGGCTTAATGGTTGGGGGTCTTTTTTATAGGGAGTTTCACTAAAACACCCAAAATGGGAGCTGAAATTATAAAAAAACCCAACACCCAAAACACTTTATAAACACACCCAAAACCCATCATTACACACATTCAAAACCCATTTATAAACACACCCAAAAAATATACAATTGTTGATTTTGGGATTGATTTTGGGTGTGTTTCTATGTTTAAATAGTGCTTGGGTTTTTTTATAAATACATGTCTAGGATTGGGTTTATTTATAAATTTGTATTTTTTATATCCAAAAATAGTATAGCCGCACTGCTATACCGAGTTTTGAATTTTTTTTAAAGAAGACATGTGTTGACACGTGGAATTTAATGGTTGAGGGTCTTTTTTATATTTAAAAATAGTATAGCCGAGCGGCTATACGCGGTTTCGAATTTTTTAAGAGAGAAATGTGTTGACACGTGGCACCTAATGGTTGGGGTCTTTTTTTAATCAAAAATTACTATAGGGGCACGGCTATACTCAATTTGGAATTTTTTTTTTAAAGGACATGTATTGACATGTGTGGCTTAAAGGTTGTGGGTCTTTTTTATGTTTAAAAATAGTATAGCCGCTCGGCTAAACTCAGTTTTGAATTTTTTAAAGAGAGAAATGTGTTGACACGTGGCACCTAATGGTTGGGGTCCTTTTTTATATTTAAAAAATTCGTATAGCCGCACAAGACATGTGTTGACACGTGGGGTTTAATGGTTGTGGGTCATTTTTATATCAATAAATGGTATCGCCGCACGGCTATACTCTGGTTTGAAATTTTTTTAAAGAAGACGTGTTGACATGTGGGATATTTAAAAATAGTATAGCCGCACGGCTATACTTAGTTTTGAATTTTTGAAGAGAGAAATGTGTTGACACGTGGTACCTAATGGTTGGGGTCCTTTTTAGGACATGTGTTGACACGTAGGGTTTAATGGTTGTGGGTCTTTTTTATATCAAAAAAGAGTATAGCCATGAGACTATAATCAGTTTTTAAAGTTTTTTTTTAAAAAAAAAGACAAGTGTTGACACGTTGGGGGCCTTTTTTATATTTAAAAATAGTATACCTGCTCAGCTAAGTAAACCCTAAGATATAGATAAATTCTATATTTTTTAATTTCTATAAACGAAAAAACTAAAACATGACAGCTGGCTATATTGAAATTAATTTTGATTATTAAATTACTTTGATACCCTATTAAGTGTTTTGAGTATTTTTATGAGGTGTTAGAGTTGGGATTGTTTTAAGAAATCGATGACAGTTTTGTAATTTACAAAAAGTTAAAAGCGTCTTTATTATATTGTAAATGAGTTTTGGTTGTATTTTTAATAATTTGAGCCCTTAGATTTGGTATAATATTTTTGGTCCAAACTTTTAATTGATGAACAACACGGAGAGAAAGCATTTTTTTTTATAATCGAAATGGTCCTTGAAATTGTCTTCAGTTTGTATTTTTTAACATACAACTAAATTACTTACTATAATGGTCCTACGATTTTGCCCTCAAATAACCATTAATGCGACTAAAATATATGAAATCGTCCATGAATTTGTGCGGGGTTCCACTTTGGTCATCCAACTAATTGTATCATTTAAAATAAATAATTTTTCAAAAATAATCGACCTCCCTCTTTTCAAATGACCCACACGACTTACCCTCCCCACCTCCATCATCACTAACACACAGAGCCCACACCACAAGCCACCCCTCACATCTCTCTCACTCTATGTTATCGGCAAGGCCGGCTCTGACTTTTAGATGGTCCACAGTAAAAATTAAAATGAGGCCTTTCTCTTTGCAAAACTCAAATTTAAGACTTGAATATGTTTGAGAATATATGAATGACTTGAATATTGTCAAAAAAAAAAACATAAATGACTAAAGGTGATAATTTTGCAAACCTCATGGACCATTTGTGATAAAACCCAAAATGTTTAAAACATTGTTTAATCCATGTCAGCAATCTAACGGAAAATTTTGACGGAACTTGACGGTGGGACCAAATTGATGTGTGAGGTGTAACATAAGGGACCAATAATGTCAGAAAAAAACATAAAGGACCAAATGTGATAATTTGACAAACCTAAGGGACGATTTGTGATAAAAACCCTATTGTGAATTAAATAAAGAGTTTGCTTTC